TCCATGATCACGAGGATTTGCGTTCCCTTATCTACTCGCAACCTATGCCTCCGTCCATGCATGGGAAAGCGGCGACATCAATCCGCTTCCGAGAGATGCTGCTATTAATGGATTGCTACGCGTCTGTGACATTATTGGGACACCCCACAACCACATTCGCGCGCCTCTTGCCCAACATCGAATTTTTCCCCGGGACACTGTGATCTGCAACAACGTGAGATTTTATCAGCCACTGTTTGCCGAAGACGCCTCTGACGATGTCGGGCGCACGGCTTTCTATTCTACTCACTCCTCTTTGGGGGATTGTGGTTTTGAATTGTGGACGGACGGTCCTTCATATCTCGCTGCACTCGCATCTGGATCCGCTGCGCTATTATATGACTCCACCACGACAACTGATCTCCCTGTGGAGGTACATCGTGCAGCAGCTGGCAGCCTCGCATGCTCATATAGGGCAGACTGCCCTGCGATCGAAAATGTTTTTAGACATCTCATACCTCATTGTCTGGGAACATCCCAATCGCCCACACGAATGCTGGAGGAAACGGACTCCCTCTCGGCAATGGAGGCACCCCGCGTTGCCCACCGACCGTGCGAGACCGCGTTACTGAGTAAATTTGGATTATGCTGCTTTCCTTGGTGAGGCGAGGTCACCCAGTGGATTTTATATTTTCCCATCACACTGCGGTATTCCACGCAGTGAGGCCGCTGACAAACAAGCCACGATTGCACGATCCCTCTCGCAGGACTGCGTCAGTGCCTGGCACGTGGAATTCCTCACCGCCGTCAAGAGGTTATAATGGAAGGATGCCCAGGAGGAAAAGGAAGGCGCGCACACCGCGTGACAGGCGCCTGTCGGTGTGGCGAGGACTCTATTCCTGGTGTTGACCCGGACATCGGTACCCAAGTGGCGGCACTGCGCACAGGCGCGATGCGACTCCTGCCCGCTCTTCGACAGGCCTGCACGCGCCCTGCGGATCACAAGGAACCCTCTGTGTCGGTGGTACCGTCCCTCCCTCACTGCGGTGAACGGCCCGCCTCTGCCTCCGCCGGAACCTCTTCCCGACGTGAGCACCGCAACTCCTTGTCGACCAGCGAGCGGCGGATTAACGTCCCCCTGCCCAACCTGCGGCTGAGTGCGCTTGTCCGTCCACAGTATGAGGGCACATGCCGGACGTGCTCAGCCTGGCGTTACAATAGTTTGCGAGGGCCTCCCATGCGGATGCCACAATGGCGCCACCGTCTTCTTAACAGGTGCCTCGCGCGCAGGTCACCACCGAAGTTGCCAAGCATGCCAGCAGGCGAGACACGCAGGAAGCACAAACGCGGGTATTCGGGATGGACCAGGCTCTTCCGCCACCGCCTCATCACAGACGCCACGGGCTGCTGATCCCCGACGGACCACGGGAGACCCCGCCTCATCCACTGCGGGAATGCCCTCGTCGTTGGGAACTGGACTGCGACTGTTTGTGACTGCCCCAGCCCGCACGACGGAATACTTGCCACTTTTGTACGGACGGCCCTTGCGCTACTCACTCGTTATTGTAGCAGCATACAACCAAAACAAGATAACAAGCTGCTTTGTGATGAATATTGGCTGCACTTCCCGTGGACCAACAATCCGCGTGGTGTGCGGGGATCTTCTTTTTGTATTGTTACTTTGCTTTTGTGTTGCTGTGTGCGCTGCACCTTCTTGTGTGTGCGCACCCTCCGTGAGGGGTGCAGGCGCGACGGACCGCTCTCGCCGCATGTGCATGCGGTGGAGCCTTGTGTGCCGCTCCTGTTTGCTTCTCCCTCTTCCATCTGTGTGTTGGTGTTGCGGCAGGGCTGTGTGTGTGTGCCTGCTGCCGTGGATTGGAGTGTGTGTCGTGCGTGGTGTGCGGCGTACGGTGCATGCCTGGCTGCTGCCCTCTCCTCATGTGGTGTGCCCTCTGTGTGTGTCTGCCGCACCTCTCGTCTCCCCTGTTGCTCTCCATTTCCCTCACTGTGCAGATCAGCTCCACACCACTGAACGACCACACTCACGATGATGATGATGACGTACCGTCTGCTGTGCGCCCTGTTGGTGCTTGCCCTGTGCTGCTGCCCGTTCGTGCACGCGGGAGACACTCAGGAGCTCACTGAAGGCCAAGCTAATGCAAAAGACCCCAATTTGTCGCCTCCCTCAGCTGACTCTAAGGCAGCTGTACCTAAAGGAGACGCCGCCGGTCGAGCGCCCTCTGGAACAGGAGAAATTCCAGGGAACGGTAAGGCTGAGGCTGCTAAAAATTCATCCACTGAGCCGACTGCGGAAAAAATTGAGCGAGAGACACCAGGTTTGGCCGTTTCGGAACCCAAAGTAAATACCGAGCCACATAAATCACTGACAGAGAATGCGAAGGGTAATAAAGGATCTGAAATTGGCACCGGTACACCTGCGGAGAAAGAAGTTAATAACGCCGAAACTTCTGCCCAGACGACCACCACTACGACCACAACAAAGGCACCAACCACGACGACCACCACTACAACAGAGGCACCAAGCACTACGACTACAGAGGCGCCAGCTGTGTCGACCACCAGCGCACCGTCACGTCTTCGCGAAATCGACGGCAGCCTCAGCAGCTCTGCGTGGGTGTGTGCCCCGCTGGTGCTCGCCGCATCCGCGCTGGCGTACACCACTGTGGGCTGAAGAGGTGTGTGCGGGCTGTGCGTGCCAGCACTCAACCGCGGGGATTTGTGCGCGTGTGTTGTTGTTCACTGTATAAAATAAGAGGAAATAATGATTGTGTTTTGCTTCACTTGCTTCTGCTGCCGTGCTGTGTGCTCCGCGTTGTGCCCCGCATCCGCCACGTTGAACGCATCGCGGACACACTCATAAGCATGCGCACTGGAGCCCTGGGTTTGTTTTCTTTTTTAATTATTGTTTTTAATTATTGTTTTTTATTGCTTTTTAAACTTGTGGTTTGCGGTGCGGTGTGCGAGCTCTGCAATCGTACTGACTCCATCTGTCTCGTGGTGTGTGCGCTGCCGCTGCTGGGGTGCTGCCATTTGTTGCTGTGCGTGGTGTAGCGGCTGTGTCTCCTTTTGTTTTTCTCGTGCTATCGCAGGTTGGCTCCGCAGCGTTAGGCGACTCCACTGTTTGTGATGATGACTGGCCGTGTGCTCTGCGTCCTGTTGGCTCCTGCAGTGATGCGCAGCTGATCGTGCGTGTGAGTGAGGGCTGCTGCGACGGGGTGCGTGTGCTGCCGCGGGTGATGGCGCGGTGACTGCTGGGCACGCGCGGGGTGTGATGGCTGCGGAAGGTGGACCCGTGGCCGGTGGCTCTGGACGAAGGGGGATGTGCACTCTGAGGGCAATAGCAATCAGGAAGACGAGGAGGGTGGGGGAAGCATTGCGGGTGAGGACCCCAATCCCACCTCGGCAGGACCACTCACTGCACCGACGAGGCAGGGCCAATCCAGAAGCGACCCACTGCGAAGTGGCACTTGCAATCCGTCCGGCACTGGCAGCGCGTCTGCTGCTCGGATGCGTGCAAGTGGACCGGAGTCTTTGGGCGGAGGGCAATCTGCAGGCACAACATCCCCGCGCTCCGACGCATCTCAGCAGGCAGCGGGTGGAGTGCATGCTGGTGGCGGGAGGACCTCCCAGGGCATTCGGGCTTCGGAACAAACCGTCACGGGACAGTCACAGGTGCCAGGGACGGCGAAGGAAACACCGCAGGGCGATGAAGGAGGAGAACCCGGAGCACAACACGAGGCCGACCAAACCACAAAAATGACTGTGGTGGCCTCTTGCGCAAAAACAGCGGTGGAAGAGGAGAGCCGCCAGCGGGATCGCAAGATGCACCACGTCTCTACAGTGGCGGGAATGCTCATTATTATTATTTTCCCTGCTCTTACCGACATGTCTAGCCACACGATGTCATCAGGGTGCCGAGGAGGTGGTCGAGCAGCGACATGAGTTTCCTGCTATGAAGCAACTGCCATTGAGAGAACTTTCGGTGCGAAGGTCCTGTTTAATGCCCAGCCGTTGGCGCACAGCCAGAGCGTCTGGACATTCTAGAAGCAGATGGTGCAAGGTTTCCTGCGGGCCGATTGGCGTGCTTGCGGAAGCTGGCTGATCCTGCGGCAGCAGAGATCGCCGCATGGCACTGCTGTTCCGATGCCGTGTGGCGTCTGGGTTGTGTGCGCAGCGACTTCTGTGCTGTGCGGTGCTTCTCCGTGTGGGGAAAACCATGTCACAAAAATCACATTTGAGCTCGGGAAGCGGTGGAGGGTGTTCCGGGTGAAACGATCGACAGTGACTGACGAGACCCGAGAATCCCGTCAATGTAGAATCACAGTGCGGACACTTCTCCTTCCGACGGCGTGTGAGGGTCCCTCTCCTTACTGGAGAGACGTCTTCCTCCCTCGCCGACGGGGGAACAGCTTCCGTCCCCGGTGCAGTTGGATCGTTGTTAGAGCGCATATATGCAGACTGTTCCGGTGAGATGTTGCAGAATCGGCATTGGTTCGTGCATTCTCTCACGGCCCAGTATAGTCGGCCCCAGAGCTCAGATTCCCCGCACCTTGCCCTTGCGAGGTGAACCAGTTCCTGACGGTGTAGAACTTCCTGAGTGATCAGGTCCTTGCCGCTGAGATCTGATGGCCTGGCGCCGCAAAGCAAGTAGCGATAAGTGTCTTGACGAATGGTACTACGCCACTTGTTGGTGAGCTGGGTAGTAAAACATGTCAGCAGATCCGTATGCCATAAAGGTGCGATTCCTTGCTCCGTGTATTGTCCACTTTCCATAGTCTGCGTCGCATACTGATCTGCAAGCTCGTTAGCATGTACTCCGCGATGTTCGTAACAAACTGCAGGTGCACGGACCAGCCAGCACGCGTCAGTGTTAAGAGACGCTGCCAGAGCCGATCCTCCGTCCAGTCTGTATGACTGCGCGGGCCCTTATTTAGAGCCGCTAGAAGAGACTGACTGTCTGTAACCACAAGCAGGGTTTTACGCCTGTGGCGGATACGAGGGATCATCAGCTTCTCTAGGGCTAGAAGCAGCGCACGGGATTCCGTTCTGTAGCTGCATGGGCGTGCACCGCAGTTTATGCTGGCCTTTTCTATTATCTCCGATGAGTTGAGGGATGAAAGCAGTATTCCAACCCCTGCTGACTTGGGAACGTCGACACCGCCATCGGTCGCAAGTATCCACGAACGGTGGTCGTGCAGCGCTAGAGCCTCTTCGCTGACTCTGCGCTTTTCCCGTATCAGCTCTTCTTCGTCAGTTATTGAGTGGTCTGTCGGAAGCTCCACACCGATTGTGACCCGGTGAGCGGAGGCCGCAAACCAGGGAGGAATGGAGCTGCGAAAGAACCGCTCTTCGCGTGGTGAGCTCTCGGTGATGCCATAGTCCTTTGTGTATGCGTCTACGAAGGCATATAGCTCGTCCCGAGATAATGGCGAGATGCGGAAACCGGCGCGAGGCGGTGGCTCAGGCGGGGGTCTCCGCATCCAGTCCGTCTGACATGCGCGTGTGTTCTCAAATATGGAGAGTCGCGCGCGCAGGCAAAGGACGTGGAGCGGCGGCATATTAGCCTCCAGCAGTGCGGATTCCGGGTCAACAGTGCTCGGAACTCCGCTGACAATGCGTGCCAGTGTTGCGTACGTCTTCTGCATCTCATTCTTCGCTGAATCCGTCGCTACTGCCCATACGAGCTCGCTGCCATAGCGTAATTTGGAAGCATCGTATCCGATGACGAACGTACGTAGGTCATGTGGAGATGGTCCCGCCTCTTTGTGCGCTATGCAGCGTAGCTGCGATATCCGTTGCGAAGTGGCAGCGCATTGCTTGGTGGCCGCCACATTTAGCGTCAGTCGTGGATCGAGATCCATGCCGAGAAGCTTCGTAGTTCGCGATGCCCCCATGGTCATGACTGGGATTTGACATCCAGCCACTACCAGGGGCCACCTTCCTTCACGATCATAATCTGACTCCGTGTGCGTGGATAGTGTGAACCAAGCGGCTTCACACTTTGACGGGTTGATGGCCAGGCCATTTTCCTGACTCCACGCATGCAGCTTTCCAAGAACCATGTTGGCAGTGGGAATGGCGTCTTCCCGGGACTGCCCCTTAACGATAATAGAGAGGTCCTCCGCATACATGTCTGCTGTGACACCCGCAAAGCTGCTCAGCAGATTGAGAAGTGGGTGTACGTAAAGGGAGAACAAATACGGTCCCAGTACGGACCCCTGAGGAACTCCTCGCAGCATGGGACGCCGATCGCTGTGTCTGCGGCCAACTCGTGTCTTCGCGTAGCGACCACATAGAAAGTTTCTAAGCCACCTTCGACAATTCACCCCCGGAATATTATCCAGCAAGCGACTGAGGACTCGATGATCTATGGAGTCAAAGGCCTTGCTGAAATCAACCAACACCAGCAGGGTCCGATGGGGTCTGTAGTGGAGTTGATTGCCAATACCGCTCTTCTTGGGAAGGTTCACTTGGAAATAGTGATTTCTATTATGCTCCACTTCGTGTATCAGGTGTGCCAGCTGCATCGTCGTAGTACGCATACTACGATATGCATACTGGTGGGGGTGCGGCGTCCACACCCAAAGCAATCTCTTCAGTACCATTTTCTCAGCAACCTTACTCACAATGGAAGTAAGGCTGATGGGTCGATATGACTCAAGCAGTTCCGGCGACTTACCGGGTTTTAAGAGTGGAACGATGGTAGCGCGTCTCCACTCAACCGGAATCGTACCGGTCGTCCAGCTGTGGTTAATGCAACGAAGAAGGAATCGGAGGCCCTTTGACGAAATATGTCGCAGTGCCTCACTGTAGACTTCATCCGGTCCGGGGGCCTTGCCATACGGCGTATTACGTAGCGCAGCAAGCAGTTCCGTACGATTAAAAGGTGCATCAAGAGGGGAGTGAAGATGAGCAAATAAACCAGATGTGGTGGCAGCTTCGTTTTTGTCCTGTGGCTCAGAACTAGATGAGAGTGAAGAACCTGAAGTAAATGTAGCGGCAGACTCGTTGTTGTTCTGCGGCTCGGAGCTAGAAGAAGTAGAAGAAAATGAAGTAAATGAGGCAGCAGACTCGCTGTTGTTCTGCTGCCCAAAAAGAAAAGAAGCATTAATGTTCAAGGATGCACTCTGTCTGTTGATGCCTTTGGAAAACCTAACTGCCTTGTGAGAGGGGTGAAATGGAAAAAAGATGCGATTGAGAGCATTCGCTGCTCTCCTTGCTGTTTTATAAGTGTGTTGACCATCTCCTAATAAAATTGATGTGGGAGATGGAAGTGATGCCTTTTTTCGTCCGGAAATGTATTTCCATGCGAGTGGCTCGCCTGGATTTAACTTGCTGATGCGACGTAGATACGTGTTGCGCAAGCGCTCTCGGAGCAGGAGGAAGAATTGACTCCTTGTCCGTTGCATTTCTGCCTCACGGTCGGGCGTCGGTAACTGTAGATAGCGGGCCTTGCTGTCGGTAGCCATCCGCTCTGCCTCCATGAGAGTGTCGTCCCAAAGCCTGGGACCGTCCTTGTGCATGCCGCGGGGGCAATGTCGTCGATACGAAGTTATAAGCGCTCTCGTGAAAGCTTTGATGCCGGTGGACTGCTTTTTATAGTCGTATGCCGGAAGTTGTGCGTCGAAGTCCTTGATGAATAAATCCCACTTGCACTTCCCCCAACTGTAGAAAAACTTAGGTGCCGAAGGTATGGTATCCTTAAATGCCTGATGCAGCGTAAATGTCAGCATATAATGATCACTAAGCGGCGACACGGAAGCTGACCAATCCGACACAGTCAAATGCTTTGACCATGTCAGATCGATACAGGATCGTTCTCTTGTGCCACGGGCATACGTGATCTCACCAGGGGTGTTAACCAAGGTGAGTCCCGCACCCGTGCACAGTTCTAAAAATTCTGCAGCAACCTCGCTTGGAGAAGTCTCCAAGAATGGCTCCCACTGTGGGTGATGCATGTTGAAATCCCCGCACAGCAGGAGCGGCGACGAGGCTGGAAGGCAGTTTACTAACCGCCTGAAGGATTGCGTTACTTGCGGTGGTGGTCTCATGTAGGCACTCGCTACAATAAGATCACGGTTCTGGTCCAGAGCAACCTGGACCACCACCACTTCAAGGCTGGTGTCATGCTGGGGGATGGTGAGAGGTATACGCTTGGAGCGAAGAGTTTTCCGCACCAGCACCGCCACACCGCCTCCCTTGCCGATGCGCGACTGTGCATAGAGCACATAATCTTCAGCGTGCATGCTGGCGATCTGCTCTGACGACTTCCAAGTCTCCTGGATGGCTATTAGGTCTGCTCCTTGCGCCATTAATGTTGCGAGTTTAGCCGCCGTGAGGCAAGAAAAGTTCATCTGGAGTACTGCTACGGGGCCTGGGTTCTGCTCAATGTCTCCGCTTAGCAGTGGCTTTTGTCGTTGCGCGTCACATACGGCACGCAAACGGTATGTTTAGCGCTGATAAGCGCCGATGGAATTCAGTAGCGGAGAGAAATACCACTCCGCGGGCAGCCATGTAAATGGCTCCATCTGGTGCCCTTCCGACCCGTTTGTGCGGCGCCTCCTGCCTCTCCGCGCGCAGCGGATGGGCAGCAGGCGCTTAGCTTCCTCTCTAGCAAAGAGTACTAGACCCTGGCACCACGTTGAGGTGGCCGGCTGAGCCAGGGCTGAGGATTTGTCATTCATCGCATCATCGTCATCCGCAGCTTCAACAGCTCTCATTAGTCCAATTCAGGTGGATAATAACCGGCATTCCGCATTTAGAGACACTCCGTCGCCTCCACCATTATTCGTCCGCGTCAACACATCTCCTCCACCCTCACTTCCGTACTCGTCCCTTGCGTGCCCAAAACCGGCAGCGCACCACAGCACGCAGAGGACACACACCAGCAGCACACGGCCAGTCATCATCGCCAGCACTCCCGTCTCTTGCGTGCAGCCTTCAGCAAAACCTAACACCCCGTCAACAGAGAGGGGAGAAAAAAGATAGACACAGCCGGTACACCACGCACAGCAACAAATGGCAGCACCCCAGCAGCAGCGCACACACCACGAGACAGATGGAATCAGTACGACTGCAGAGCTCGCACACCGCACCGCAAACCACAAGTTAAAAAGCAATAAAAAACAATAATTAAAAAAAAACAGAAATTAAAAAGAAAAGAAAAACAAACCCAGGGCTCCAGTGCGCATGCTTATGAGTGCGTCCGCGATGCGTTCAACGTGTCGGATGCGGGGCACAACGCGGAGCACACAGCACGGCAGCAGAAGCAAGTGAAGCAAAACAAGATCATTATTTTCTCTTATTTATACAGTGAACCACAACACACACGCACAAATCCCCGCGGTTGAGTGCTGGCACGCACAGCCCGCACACACCTCTTCAGCCCACAGTGGTGTACGCCAGCGCGGATGCGGCGAGCACCAGCGGGGCACACACCCACGCAGAGCCGCTGAGGCTGCCGTCGATTTCGCGAAGACGTGACGGTGCGCGGGTGGTCGACACAGCTGGCGCCTCTGTAGTCGTAGTACTTGGTGCCTGTGTTGTAGTGGTGGTCGTCGTGGTTGGTGGTTTTGTTGTAGTCGTCGTAGTGGATGAATCCTCGGCATTCTTTTCTGCTTTTTCCACAGGTGTATCCATACCACTTGTTTTACTCTTCTTACCTTCCGCAGGTGCAGCATTGGACGTTTGTTTTGATTTGGGGCCCGTAGCTGTAGGCGTATTTCCATCTCCATCACCCCTTATCTGTTTCTCACCGGACCCCATCTCTGGTGGCCCTGGCGGACCGCTACTCGAAAGCGCTGGATCAGATTTAAGGGACGCTGGACTGCTGCTGCCACTTAAATGAACTTTACCACCAGGCTCAGCGTCTGTTGGGTGTATTGTAGTCGCCGTCGTCGTAATGGACGGAGATACAACCGCTTCAGCGTCTGCCCCGCACACGGACGGGCAGCAGCACAGGGCAAGCAACAACAGGGCGCACAGCAGACGGCACGTCATCATCATCGTGAGTGTGGTCGTTCAGTGGTGTGGAGCTGATCTGCACGGTGAGGGAAATGGAGAGCAACAAGGGAGACGAGAGGTGCAGCAGACACACACAGAGGGCACACCACATGAGGAGAGGGCAGCAGCCAGGCATGCACCGTACGCCGCACAGCACGCACGACACACACTCCAATCCACGGCAGCAGGCACACACACACACAGCCCTGCCGCAACACCAACACACACAGATGGAGGAGGGAGAAGCAAACAGGAGCGGCACACAAGGCTCCACCGCATGCACATGCGGCGAGAGCGGTCCGTCGTGTCGGCACCCCGCACGGAGGGTGCGCACACACACACGAAGGTGCAGCGCACACAGCAACACAAAAGCATAGTAACAATAAAAAAGAAGATCCCCGCACACCACGCGGATTGTTGGTCCACGGGAAGTGCAGCCAATATTCACCACAAAAACAGCTTGTTATCCCGTTTTGGTTGTATGCTGCTACAATAACGAGTGAGTAGCGCAAGGGCCGTCCGTACAAAAGTGGCAAGTATTCCGTCATGCGGGTTGGGGCAGTCCCACACAGTCGCAGTCCCAGTTCCCAACGACGAGGGCATTCCCGCAGTGGATGAGGCGGAGTCTCCCGCGGTCCGTCGGGGATCAGCAGCCCGTGGCGTCCGTGATGAGGCGGTGGCGGAAGAGCCTGGTCCATCTCGAGTACCCGCGTTTGTGCCTCCTGTGTGTCTCGCCTGCTGGCATGCTTGGCAACGTCGGTGGCGACCTGCGCGCAAGGCACCTGTTAAGAAGACGGTGGCGCCATTGTGGCATCCGCATGGGAGGCCCTCGCAAACTATTATAACGCCAGGCCGAGCACGTCCGGCGTGTGCCCTCATACTGTGGAAGGACAAGCGCACTCTGCCGCAGGTTGGGCAGGAGGACGTCAATCCGCCGCTCGCTGGTCGACAAGGAGTTGCGGTGCTCACGTCGGGAAGAGGTTCCGGCGGAGGCAGAGGCGGGCCGGTCACCGCAGTGAGGGACGGCACCACCGACACAGAGGGTTCCTTGTGATCCGCAGGGCGCGTGCAGGCCTGTCGAAGAGTGGGCAGGTGTCGCATCGCGCCTGTGCGCAGTGCCGCCACTCGGGGACCGATGTCCGGGTCAACACCAGGAACAGAGTCCTCGCCACACCGACAGGCGCCTGTCACGCGGTGTGCGCGCCTTCCTTTTCCTCCTGGGCATCCTTCCATTATAACCTCTTCACTGCAGTGAGGAAGTCCACGTGCCATGACGGCATCAGCGTCCGCTGTCACGCTGCGTGGGATTCCGTAGCGTCATGGGGAAAATGTGAAGTCAGCTGTGTGATCTCGATCCACCAGTGAATGCGGCAGGGTACAAATCTCCTTGCTGACGTCGTCGTGCACCGCCAGCGAGCCAAGGCGGAGTGACTCCATCGCCGAGAGGGAGTCCGTTTCCTCCAGCATTCGTGTGGGCGATTGGGATGCTGCTGCCAGGCGGGGAACTGGGAACTGTCTGTGGCCATGCTTAGTGACAGGACACTCCGCTCGGCAGGTGCATGCAAGGCTGCCAGCAGCTGTGCGGTGAGGCCCCACAGGGAGCTCCGCTGTCCGGGGAGTCAAGTGGCAGCGCAGCGGATACAGAGGCATTCTCAGCGAGAGACAATGTGCCGTCCGTCCAGCGGCCTGCAACTCTCTCGGACCGTATGTTGCAGGCCGCTTCAAGGGCCGATCGCCTGACACCGTCCAGGGCGTCCTTGGCGTGCCGTGGCCGGAAGACACCCACCCCGTCGCAGCTCACAGCGTCCAGGCAACAATCCGGTGCTCAGCATGAGGGGCGCGGATGTGGTCCGGGGAGATCCCCATGTGGCGGCGGACGCGTCGCAGTTCCTTGAGGACGGCATCTCCCGGCAGCGGAATGGTCGTCGCTGCCTTCCCAGGTATTGACGAAGGTGCGGTTTCCGAGCAGACTGCGCCACGCACGTCCTCAATATAACGGAGACGCGTGAGGCGTTCGTGCTGCGTGGGTGCGCGGAACCCAACGATCCTCCGCAGCGGTGCTGGACTGGCGGCCAGGTGGACAGAGGTATCCTTCGCTGATACGCATGGCACGGTCTGCCCTGCAGCGGCGGTGACGTGCGAAACAAAATTGAGGTGTCGATCAATCGCATTGCCGAGCAGACGCACAGGGTGGGATTGACGCGTGGCTTCCCACCGCCCAGACGATGGTCGGCCGTGTCCTCGTCAGACTGTCGGTGTGAAGCGATGCAGAACAGAACGGCACCGCTCCCGTCGGCGCTGATACTCAGACTGTGCTCGGCAGCTCATTTGGCCACAACGGACACGGCAGCTGGCATTGCCGCACCACAGGCATGGATGCCCGCACACAACGCAACAAGCGTGCGGTCGTCAGCGTGCATGAACGCCGACGCAAAGTGAATGCTGTCCAGGCGGCGCCGCAGACCACGTGGCGGTGGAGGAGCTGCGGCCGCACCACGCTGCATTGGGCTGCCACGGCTGAGGCGAGCTGCTGTCGGGAATATTGCTCGCGAGCACTCACACCAACGCAGCCGCCTCGCAGGTGATTGCGCTACCAGTGTTGGACGTGACAGCACAGGCGCGGGAGCCCGCAGAGCACAGCCAGCACTCGCCCATCGTCAACGGTGTCGAACGCAGTCGAGATGCCAATCAGGACGGCGAGAGAGCGGCGACGGCGACGGTGCAGCGCGGGATGACGCCCCTGCGACGCTCGCACTCCACGGCGATGCACCCGCTCAGCCCTCGTGCCGTTTCGTCACTCACAGGCGTCACCAACTCCGAGGCCGTGCGTCGTGGCGTGGATCCAGGCTGACGTCGGTGGTGCGCCAGCAGTGCTCACAGGCGGCGGCGGACCAGTCCTTTCCTCACACCCAGCAGGACAGAGAGCGGCGGGAGTGGCCGGCAACTCTCTCTGTGCGGCATGCGTCCTTCCGTGCATTCGGATGGAGATTTTTTCCTCGTTTCCCAGCAACTTCGCTCGCTGCCGTCGGCGAGGGAGGTGTTGATCATCGCTCTGTGCGAGCAGCGGGCAGCGGGTGCAAGACGGCGCAGAAACGCACTCAATACGCCGCCAGGGCCAGGGGCAATGCCAGGCAAACAGTCGCGGATGGCCAAGTCAGGCGCACACGGCGTGAAGGGCCAATTCATATTCCAGTCAACAGGGGGCACGCAAGCACAAACTGTGCAGGCAGCTGTGGGGATCGCAGCACGTGAGACTCGGACAGTGTGACGGACGAGCAAATTTTCCTGCTGCCGAGGCAGAGCACAGACGCAGTCCCAAGAGTACCGCAGCACAGCCGATCCCAGAGAGCAGGAACGTGGTGCCGCCATGCCTCGGAGTATCACAGGCCTGGGCTCGAGAGGGCACCAAGCTGCTTTGCACGGACCTCCAGCAGCATGGAGAAACCACCGCGGAGGGCATGATTACGGTCCTCCCGTTTGCGGACAACTTCAGCTCGGGGTAGGCTGCCTCCGGGTGAGGCAGTGTGCGCGTCCCATGCTGCCGCTGCATTGGACTCGGCATGCTCCATTCCGTCCGTCCAGATTCCTGTGGAGCTGTCACGGCTGCCGCTCGTACGGTGCCTCGGTGCATCTCCAACCATGTGGTCACAGTGGCCAGAGGCGTTGCACACGCCGTGGCGGAATCATTCCAGTCAGCTGCACGCAGCGCAAGGGCAGCATGTTTCCGTCGTGGCAGCAGGCCTGCCTGTCGCGGGATGCCGTCCTCCGTCCTCGCAGTGTGGGATGGCAGATGGTGATCCGAGTCCATGTAAACAAGTGGACGTCCAGTGAGAGACACGCAGTACGCGTTGCGCAGTCACGTCGGGAAAAAAGACGCGGCGGCCGCCAATCCGCGCTGCCTGTGCCGGGTCGTCGGACAGCTCAGAGTCCATGCCGATTGGGGTGGCGGCGAGGTCCTCTCCTGCCGCCGTTGATGGTGAGCGACCGTCCCGCAGCTCATGGTGTAGATTCAGGTCACCCGCAATGGGCGCTGCAGAACCAGAGCGACGAATGGTGCTCGCAAAGTGAGCAGCGTGGGCAATTGCCGATGGGAGTTTGCAGAGGTTCACCACGTACATGCTGGGGCAGGGCGGTGGTCTCCAGGCAGTTGGTGCCAGCAGCGACAGGCGCTCGCACGGCAAGGTGTGGCGCACCAAGAAGACAACGCCACCGGCACGCCCACCGCAGGCCTGGTGGAAGTCACTGCAGCCAATGAGCCTCGTCGCCAAGAGCATTCCTGCAGTGCGCTGTGCAATTACTTCTATGTGTGCTGGAGGAGCGGGAAAGAGGAGGAGCACAGGGAGGCAAATCAACACAGCAAGAGGCACAGATGGATGGCAGCGATACACGCGGTACGGCCCAGGCCTCAACAATCACGCACGGCGCAAGAAATTCACACGAAAAGCAAAAAAACTTTAAAACACGGCGGCAGGGTGTGGCTGTGTGTGTGTGGCGCTGCGGGTGTCTGCCCGCCCTGGCCGCAAGAAAACAAAACAAGAGGGAAGAAATGTGTGCTCCGCCCCACAGGCCCTCGTCGCACGCCCACACGTCACGGCTCCCTCAGCGCGCCGTTCGTCGCGGCCCCTCCTCATGCGTGCAGCAGGCGAGGCGCACAGGGCCGTCGTCATGAGCGTGTCGGTGGGTGTGCGAGTGGAGCAGTTGGGCGGAAACACACGGCACCCCTCGCAGGAAGAGTGCAGCAACAAACAATTAAAGAGGGAAGAGTAGAAAAGAAAACACGTCCATAGTGACTGCCCCAAAAGCAAAAAAAAAGAAATGAAGAAATTGAGAAATAAAAAACAAAAAGGAAAAACGCACAACCAAAAAAAAAAAAACAATAAAAATATTTTAAAGCAAAAAAAAAAAGGAATGGGGGGAGTGAGAGGTAAAAGAAAATGGAATAAAAGAAAAACGAAACAACAACAAAAAAAAACATTGAAAAATGAAAAAACGCACAAAAAAGC